AGGTGTTCTTTGGAATATATACTTACTTGGTTCTTTAACCTGTCTCCTTATTTGTTATTGGGGATAACAATACTAAAACTTGTAGTTTTGTTTGAGGATTGTCTATATCTAAAGTACATAGGTCAGTGTTCAGCACTCAGTATCATCAGTAAATAGTATTAGCTGATCACTAAATGTTTGGTCCATACCTGTTTTTACTCTTTCCTCGTTTGTACCATTTTTAATTTAACTATTATGTCATTTTATATGTTTTGTGTTTCTGGCCAGATTGTATGCAGTTGATGGGGAATGTACCATGTATTGGAATATATGACTCAAAGTGTGTCTGCTTTCTTTGACCCCAGTATACAGGGCAAGGCAGTTTATTTGGCAGTAGTTTTTATTCTTTGTTTGCTGTATTACAGTTCTGCTGGTGATCATTATTGGGTTGATTTTCTTTTTTAAATCTCTCCCACCAAGTATTTATATAATTTTAGAAAATGACTTAGATTTTCTTCCTTTGTCATTTGTAAAATAAGAACAACAAATCTGATTTTGCATTTCTTGGGTTTGGTTTGGTTTTGAGGTGGTTTCACCAAGTTACCCAGGCTATCTTGAACTCCTGGACTCAAGTGATCTGACCAACATTGTAAAGAACTCCCTTTATTCAACAGCCGTGCTAAGACTTAACTGTCTTTGTCTTTTTTTTTGGTACCAGGGATCGAACTCGGCTCCTTGCGCTTGCAGGGCAGGTGGCGAAACCACTGAGCTAAATCCCTGGCCCTGTCTTTTTTTATAATAACCATTCTGATAGGTATGAGATATCCATATCTCATTGCAGTTTTAATTTTCATTTCTCTAGTCATTAGCAGTGTTGAACATTTTTTTTTGTTTGTCCATTTGTGTGTCTCCTCTTGGCTAATTTCTTAATAATTGCCATTTCTGGAGTGAGGTGGAATCTCAGCGTTGTTTTAATTTGCATCTCTCAAATGACCAGTGATGTTGAACATTTTTTCATATATTTATTTGCCATTTCTACTTCATCTGAGAAATGTCTTTATTTCAGATGCCCACTTTTGGATGAGGGCAAATGATTTATGTGGCTTTAAGTTATAATATATGTTACTAGAAATTGAACCCAAGGCCTCTTCACTAAGCTACATCCCACACCCTTTTTAAAAAGTTTTTTTTTGGGGGGGGTACTGGGGATCGAACTTAGGACCTTGTGCTTGCAAGGCAGGCGGCGGAACCACTGAACTAAATCCCAAGCCCAGTTTTTTTTTATTTTTTAAATTTAAAAAAAAATTTTGAGACAGGGTTTTGCTAAGCCAATAAATAACCCCGGCTGAGCTTGAACTTTCAGTCCTCCTGTATCAGGCTCCCAGTGTGCTGGGATTCTAGGCTTGGGCCACCACACCCAGCACCCTCGCTTTATTTGAAGATTTTTTTTTGGTACCGGGGATCCAATTCGGGTCCTTGCGCTTGCGAGGCAGGCAGTGGAACCACTGACCTAAATCCCTGGCCCTTGAAGATTTTTTTCAATTAAGAGAATTTTGCATCTTTTCTTTATAAATTTATCTGGCATAATGTTTAAATGTAGTCAGTTTGAAAGCCTTGAGACTGCAATGGGTTCTTCAGAATGCTGTTATCTGGATGACAAATGAAAGTACTTCTATCTGAAACCTAAAATATAAACTGTGTAGAATTTTAGAAATGCCTTTATAGGACTTGTCAGGGTGTTTAAATTAAAAGTAAACCCAGGACATTTGCACTTGGTCTTTTATTTTCATTTTGTACATATTGAGTTAAGTTCAGTTGATTTTACATACTACATATGCTTTCTTTTTATTTATTTATTTAGAGATAGTGTCTTGCTATGTAGTTCAGACTGGCCTCAAACTTGTGGGGATCCTCCTGCCCCAGCCTCCTGAGTGCCGGGTCTTTTTTTTATATTAAAGTGGGGTTTTTTTGGTACTGGGGATCAAACTCGGGACCTTGTGCTTTCAAGGCAGGCGGTAGAACCACTGAGCTAAATCCCTGGCCCCTTAAAAGTTTTTTTAATCCTGTAATTTAAAAATTCATTTTTTAGTTAAATCTTGAGGAGCTTATTTTTGTTTCAGTTATGTCCTTTGTACTGAGTAATAATTTTTGTCCAACCTTGCATAGCTGGCTCAATTGTATTTCAGTTTTGACCTATAATTTCTTAGTTTTGGATATGGCTAGTTGTTTTTGTGAGGATATTTGGGTCATTCACTGTTGGAAATTAGAATTTCTGAGTTAAAGCAAACATTTATTGAAAGAATAGACTTGTCCTTTTTTTGGTGCTAGATAATGAACTGAAGTCTGTAAATGAGCTGACTCCCTACCACGGAGCTTTGCTCTCAGCAAGTAAAGAAGGTGTTTTTATGATGTCATTCTGTCTTGCTTTTGGACTATGCAGTGGTTTTTTAAAAAAATTGGAGTATATATAATTTACTATCAACAAGGTGCCATTTTTCATCATCTTACAGTGACACCTGCATACCTATGTTTATAGCGACACAATTCATAATAGTTAAATCTTGCATGTGTCCTATGTGTCCATCAACAGATGAATGGATGAAGAAAATATGGGATTTAAATACAATGGAGTACCGCTCTCCTATATAAAGAATAAACTTGAATCATTAGTAGGAGAATAGGTGCACCTTGAGACCATAATGTTAAGTGAAATAAATATTGCTTGGTTTCTCTTATATGAGAAACCTAAAACATATAAACAGCAAAGTAAAAGATAGATAATAGGAAGTAGAGAAGGAGATCTTTTGTAAATAGGAGGGGGGCCATGTGACAGAGAAAGAGGGGAGGGAGAAGAAGGGAAGGAGATAAAAAAAGAATTGATATGTTGTGTATATGTACCAGCTCCCTACAAGGAAAGTAATCGTTACGTACTACAAACATATACTAATAAAAGTGTAAAAAGATGCATTGTTTAAGGTTTTATTTTCTTTTAAAATCGGATGAACAGGTATATCTTACATCAGAATTCACTGATTTAAAATGTTTGAGGTTTTTTTTTTTTTTTTTTGAGTCAGGGTTTTGGGTTGGCCTTGAACTCACTGTGTAACACAGGCTGGCCTTGAACTCATGGGACTCCTCCTGCCTTACCTTAGTCTCCTGAGTGCTGGGATTACAGGCATGCACCACCATCCCAGCTAAAGTTTGAGTTTCTAAAACACCTTTATTGAGGTATAGTTCATAAAATCCACATATTCTGCCATTGTAGTTGTAAATTTATATCATTGTGCGGACATCACTGAAATCTAATTTTGTAACACTCCTTTCACATGGAAAAAGCTCTCTGTCTTTTTGTAATTGCTACCAACCTCAGTCTCAGGAAACCACTAAACTACTTTCTATACAGGCACTAATTTTGCCTTGTCTAGAAATTTCATATAAATGGGATCATGCAATATATCCTTTTGTCTCTACCATTACATTTTTTAGAACATCCATGCTATTGTATCATTGGTCCATTCTTTTTCGTTTTTTGGTTTTTTGGTTTTTTTTGTACTGGAGATCGAACTTGGGACCTTGCGCTTGCGAGGCAGACAGCGTGGCGGCTGGTCCATTCTTTTTAATTGCTGAATCGTATCGCATGTTTTGTTTATCCATTTACCAATTGAAGGATACTGTGTCCAGTTTTAAGCTATTATTGGTAATGGTGCTATACACAATCCTTACAGATGTCATTTGTGAAAATAAAAATATACTTTTATTTATTGTGTATGGAATTGCTGGGTTGTATGGTAACCATGTGTTTAATTTTGTAAAAAACTTCCAAACAGGCTCTATCATTTTACATTCTTTCCATTATTGCATCGCGTGGGGGGCGGGGAGGGTGTTCAGTTTCTCTGTCTTTTCCAATGCTGAGTATTGTCATTTTTTTAAAAAAATTTACCAATTTTATTTTTAATGGTATTTCATTATATATTTTTTGTTGTTGTTGTTGTTGTTGTTGTTGTTATCTGAGACAGAGTTTCACTATGTATTGTAGTTCAGGCTGGCCTCAAATCGTGGCAGTCCTTCCTGAGCTCACAATTCCTGGGATTACATGTGTGTGTCACCATGCATTGGTTTCTCATTGTATTTTATTTTGGTTTTTTGTTTTTGGTACCGGGGATCAAACTCGGGTCCTTGCGCTTGGGAGGCAGGCAGCGGAACCACTGAGCTAAATCCCTGGCCCTCTCATTGAATTTTAAAAACAGCTTTATTGATAGGATTCACATACCATACCACTCATTCATTTTATTTGTACAATTCAGTGGCTTTTAGTATATTGAGAGTTGTGCAATCATAACAGTTAATTTTCATCCCCAAAAGAAACTTGGACACCTTAACCATAATTCTCTGCCCATGAGCCCTAAAATGCCACTTTGTCTCTATAGATTTGCTTATTCTGATATTTCATAAATGGAATCATATAGTATGTGGTTCTTTGACTGGCTTCTTTAACTTCTCTTTTCGAGGATCTGTTGTGTATTTCTGTATACTCTATGTTTTGTATATGAACATAAAGCTTTTTATTTATCTATTTATCAATGATGGACATTTGTATTTTATTCTCCACTCTTTGCCTGTTATAAATAATGCTGCTATGGATATTTTTTCTCGTGTTTGTGTGTGTGTGTGTGTGTGTGTGTGTGTGTGTGTGTGTGTAAATGTGTTTTCATTTCTTTTGGTGTATACTTGGGAATGGAATCACAGGGACTTAAGAGTTTTTGTTTAGCCTTTGGAGGAGTTACCAGACTGCACCATTTGACACATCCAGTGGCACTAATATACAACAACACTGATTTTTCATTAATGTCCATCAGAGGCTGGGGTGGTGGTGGTGGATTTTTACAGCTTTATACCAACTCTAGATATCTGAAAATAAGTTTGGATATCACACTGAGTTAACCTTTCCCTTTTTCCCACCTCCTTTAATAATACTGCAGACTTTTACACTTGACTAATCATCTTATTTTTCTGTTTTACAGAGTAAGAAAGTTAGCCTGAGTTTTTTGAAGGACCAAAAAGACAAGGTTTTTTTCCAGTTTGCATAATGTAAGTTCTTTTCACTATTCTTGGCCACAATCCTGTGTTCGCTGACAAAGCTGTTTCTATGGAAACAAATAACCCAGCCTCTTAAAACGTCAAAGGAATGCTGATCACTTAGAATGAGATTTCCCAGCTGCTGGTCAAAGGGCATTCCTTACTGAAGAAGGGGAAGAAGGATGAATTAAAAAATTTTTTAAAGTGCTGGACACTAGTGTAAACTGAGAACATGTTTATGCATATGAAGTATATCTTTTCCATCTCCCTCTGTCTAAAACTGAAAATACTACTTATTTTCCTTTTAACATGTGTTGTTTTCCTGCAAACCTGTCCTGCTTCCCAGCTATTACACAAATGGTTCTTTCTTGGTACAGTTTTCAGTGGTCCTGTACCCGTTAGGCTATTTCAGTCCCTTAATCTCCAGCATTTGCACTTTGCGCTTATTTAGCTTTCTTTTATTTCCTCTCTTAGCCAATTCACATAAGCAAAGCCCTTTCTCTGCTACTAGTTTGAAGTTAGCATCAAAATAGCTTTGGCCTGCTGACCTGAAAATTTATTTTCTTGCTTTGTGGACTATGTAAAGATTTTTTTGAGTTTTTGTTGTTCTTTGGAAGGAGTGGAATTAGGGATTCTGATGAGGATTAGAAATACAGGCCTTAGAAGCATTTTATTTTTTTTTAAATTTTAAACTTACGATTGAAGGTTGCAAAGAGAAGAATTGTAAACTCCATTATCTTCAGCCTGTTGTTTTCCTCAAAAAGGAGGTAATTTCCTAGTTTGGTCATTTACCAGCTTCTGAATTGTCAAAGGATTTGGGTCATTGTATTTTGTTTTTTTAAGTCCTTTGGACTGGGATTCTTTTACTGTTTATTGATATGTATTGACTACATATATGGACTTAGATTATTAATGGATTGCCTGCTTAAAAGTTATGATCTTGCCAAGTGCAATGGTGCATGCCTATAACCCCAGCACTTGGGAGGCTGAGGCAAAAGGATCACCATGAGCTTGAGGACATCCTGGGCTACATAATGAGTTCAAGGCCAGCCTGAACTATGTAGTGAGACCTAGCTCAAAAAATTTTTTTTTCTTTCTTTTTTTTCAGGTACTAAGGATCAAACACAGGGGTACTGTACCACTGAGCTACAACCACAGGCCTTTTTATTTTGAAGCAATCTTGATAAGTTGCCTGAGCCAGTCTTGAACTTGTAATCCTCTTGCTTTACCTCCCTCATTGCTGGGATCATAGGTGTGTACCATCGTGCTGCACTAAAAATTAAAATGACCTCAATGCTAAAACTGTCAGACACAGCATAATGTTTTTCTGTTTCTGGAAGTACTTTAGAGTCTTTCCTGGCCTTCATGAATTAACTTGTGAGCATGATAGAGTCTTTTGGATTGTGATGTGTGATGAGCTTGTTATTTAACCAAGAAGATCTAAAAGATTTCTTCAAGAAATTAGGGACTTGAGGTAAGTCTTGAAGATAGAAGATAAAAGGAGATATAGTTCAAAAGACATGTGGGCAGGAAGAAAAGATACAGATGAGGAGGCTAAATTAAAATGCTCATTCAGGATAGTAGTAAAAAATACAAAGCTTAGATTGATCTTGTAGTTTAGACTTTATTTTCTAGGTAGTATTGAAAGCCATCAGAAGTTCTAAACAGAGGAATGATTTGCTCATATGCTTCTCCCTTACTCTAGGTATCATGACTATTGAGATAAGACAGTTCCCTGCCAACTAGAACTTTACCTGTGTGAGCTGTAGTCACCTTGAAATTGATTTGTTGAAAACAAAGCTCACATTTCCCTTTAACTTCTCTTCCTCTGATTCTCTTCCTGTATTCCCAACTGTAGTTAGTAACACTGTCATCTACCTAGTGACCCAAGGATAGTGATTAAGAGTGGTAACCCTGAAATCACACTGCCTGGGTTCATATTTTAAAGCCTTGTTTTCTTGGTTCTGTGCTTGTCAGTATCGTGGATCCAGAGATAAATCAACCTGATTCCTGACCTCAAAAAGCTTCTACCCTTGGGCCGGGGATTTAGCTCAGTGGTTCTGAGGCCTGCCTCAAAAGCAGAATCTCCTGAGTTCGATCCCTGGTACCAAAAAAAAAAAAAAAAA